CTCTGGTGAAATTTCTCTTTCCTCCTTAAAATATGTTAAATGTCAGTTTAAATTAAAATTAATGGTTAAAACATGTATGTCACATATGATCATCAGGAAATAGAGAAAAGCGAATGATTCAGTTCCACATTTGCTCCAAGGCGTTAAAGTTCATTAAAATTGTCCAATTACTTTCTGATCTAAGATCAGATCTTAGATTACTTTCTAATCTCAGCCAAACAACTTGCTAAGAAACAAATAAACACAGAGATAAACTTCTCCTGACAGATATAATCTAATTGAATCATGTCCAACCTCAGAGAGAATACAGTCAGCCGTGTGCTGGGAGACATGTTTAACTGCAGTATAGCTCTGAGTGCTCCATCACAACTTGCAATGTGAGACAACAGCAGGAACCGATATCTCCAAAAATGTCAGACCAAATACGCTCCAGCTTAACAAATCAATATTTGAAACTTACTCCACTACATTGTCACCTAAAGAAATTATTGAAAGTGTAGCTGGTGACACAGAAACAGCGAATTTAAAAATTTTAAGTATAGATCAGGTTCATCAGATTATGACCTCACTCTGTTTTGTCTTCAAATACAGTACATTCAGTCTGTGTTTATAATGCATATTTTCAGCTTTTATAAAAACACATTTTATATTTTCTATAATCACAGACTGATAAACTGTGAATTCTCAGAGACTCACGGTGCAGTTGTGGCCTCAGCTCTGAAGTCTAACCCCTCCCATCTGACTGAGTTGGACATGAGTTTCAACAAGCTGCAGGATTCAACAGTGAAGGTTCTGTGTGCTGGACTGGAGAGTCCAAACTGTCGACTGGAGAGTCTGAGGTGAGTTCACTGACTGCAACTGCTGTTTTGTTTCTATATTTCAGATCTTTGGTTGATGTTTGAAACTTTCTTTAGTGTCTGAAAACAAATGTGAAGATATTTGAGTGCTTTCAGAAATGTTGTGTCTTTCCAAACGACTGAACAACAGTTTTTCTTTTGGCTCCAAATAGAAGTGACAGAAAGTTGTGCTGAAACTGTTTCACAAAATTGGATCCAATTCCATTAGTTTGTGATATACTTCAACTGAGCTGTTCACTGCCTAAACCCACAGAGACTGTCAGTCTGGACTTTTCTTTATTTCTATTGGCTGTCAGTGAGATTTCAGAGCAATCAGAGACTGTGGGTCTGTATATGAAGTATAATTCATGTGCAGTTGTTGAAGTTGTAGAATGAGAAATGGCACTTTGGGGTTTTTCCTGCTTTCATTCAATCAACCAATCAAAATTTATTTATATAGCACATTTTTAAAGACCGAAGTACACCAAAGTGCTTTCCAGTAAAATCATGATACAGATAAAAATCACAATAT